GAATGAAACTGATACACACACACACACACACACACACACACACACACACACACAGAGGCTTTGGGGAACACAATGATTTTTATTTCTTTTTGGTAAATAACTAGGGATGGCATTTTTTGGTCACATTGTAAGTACAGGTATGTGTTTAACTTTATAAGAAACTGTCAAAGTATTCTACAACATGGTTCTATCATGTGATGTGTGAAAATTCCATTTGCTGTAAATCTTTATTATTGCTTAATGTTACTAGTTTGCTGCTTTTATTTTGTCATTCTATTGTCTATGAAATAGTAATCTCTTTGAGATTTTAATTTGTACTTCTGTGATGACAAATGATATTAGGCATCATTTTACGTACTTGTCTACCATCTGTATATCTTTGTTTATGAAGTTTCTGGCTAAGTGTTTTGCCCATTTTATTGAGATTTTTTCTTATTATTGAATTGTAAGAGATCTTTAAGTGTCTGGATATAGGTTTATTTTTGCTAAAAGCAAATCTGACTTCTCCCCATAGAACAAAATTAGAATCAGTGGGAGGGAGTTTCAGTAAGCACATTTCTATTCATTAGGACTTCCCCAGGTTGCCCCAAGAGATGATCTGTTCCCAATTACTTCAGGTGTTTAGACATTTTTAATAATAATGTAAAGCAGATTTATGTATCTTCTAGATCCTATGCTAAGTAGCGTCTGAAGTCCTTTAAAACTCTGGAATTTTATGCTATTGAAATAAATCAAGTCAACACAATGTTAATAAGATACAGGATTTATTGGTTGTATCAATCTGTAATTGGTAGAACCCTTGCTGCATCCCCAGCCAATGAGTACTGATTTACAAACCTGTAACCATTATGTATAAAATAGAGATTTTCTGTTTCAATTTAGTGTCATTATGAATATATCTGACAACATGGAAACACTGGCTGTATTTGATCAAAATTATACAAACAGAAAAATGATATTCCAACTGTCTAAATATTATTTCCCAGAGGACGTAGCCTTGTATACTTATTTATCCCCACAATGATGATTCACCAAAAATATTCAAGTAGGCATCAAGAGCAATACTAAAATCAAATCATTCTTTTTTTATTTTTAACAAAGCCATGATGTGTCCACCCTTGAATAATTCTGCATAGTTTTTATCACCATATCTCAGAAAACAATTCACTTATATTTAAAAGGAAGGAAGGAATAAGGAAAACAATCTTTATTAAATTATTAAAATATATCAGACACTTCCAAACATTTTAGTCAGTTCTTACAATGACCTTACTAGGCAGTTATGTTAATTTTATATATATTACCATTATATATATTTAAGTCTATTTTATATATATGCACACATACCTACACCTGTGCACATATCCATTATTTTATACACATATATATACATGATTATTGTCAAGGTTAACAAGTTTCTCAAGGACATAGTTTTTAAATGGCAGGTCCGGACTTCAAACCCCAGTCATTTTATTGTCTACTCGGGTTCTTACTATAAGGCTTATTTGCTTGCTACAGACCAAAGTAGACCATTTATTATTGTGACAAGGTAAAAGGTTATTCAAAACTATCTCTAAGAAAATGGAGGGGCCCATTTACCTCAAATCACAATCTCACAGTTTATAGCTGGGTAAAGGTTTTTAAAGAAATGGGCTGGCAGGAATGCAATGTGCCTTGTTCTGGAGTTAGACTGCCAAATGGCCAAGTATCAGAAGGTATGTGCACAGTGTGGAACTTTAAAATGCCAATGTGCTCTGAAGGATGATCTTATGTCTGAGACCTAAGAAATAATTAAACTTGCAATATATATTGACATCTTTGTTTTGTTACTTAACTGGTGATGTATGCTGTTTTGGACTCTACTCACTATTTGTCCCTCAGGTTGCTAATGTCTAACTCTCTCCTTAACAATGAGACCAGTTCAATAATACTTCAATATTATATTGAATACTAATATTCAATAATACTTCAGTATCCTGGCAGAGATGAAGTAATTGCCTGCCAGTATGTTAAATGAGAGCTTCCTCCATGAGATGGTACCTAAGTAACCAAAAGTTCTACAAAACCTATTTCTTTCTGATAGTTCTTGCATCTCTAAATAACCACAGAAAGCTATTAGATTCTTGATTTTATTTTATATTACAGATTCAGAACCATTGACTTGACAATATGCATTATAATGACCTCTCTGGGTGATTTGGATGCAAATTGAAATTTGAGGATCACTTCTGTAAGGAAAAGAGCTCTGGAATGGGGCTGAAGAAATCTGGATTCCAGTTACAGTTTCCATGTCATCTCTGTGTAACCCTGATCAATTGACTTGCCCTATCTGATCCTCAGTTACTGCTCCATAAAATGATGGCATTGAAGTAGATTATCTCTAGGGTCTCCCCCAACTCTAAGATATTTACCAATTATATAGTGCCTGTTTTATATATTACAAAATTTATAGTGCCTGTTTCACCAACCTACTGAGTGTATTTGACTTAGTTTTTTTATCTTCAAGATCCTTAATTTTTCACTAATATATAAGTATACAAAACTTGTGTGAACTATTGGAATACAGAAACGAGGCCTAAATTTTTTCAATACTATAATTAAATCAGTTACTAATGTGCCATAAAACCTGGGCCAAGTTAAAATCCTGCAAATCTCATCTAAACTATTAAACACATACTAAACACTCTTGCAATACTGGCAATTGTAAGAGTTTAATTCTCAAGCATTTGGGTGGTCCAAATTGCCTAGCCTCATTAATCTTGGAGTACTATTGTCTGGGATTTAGAGAGGCAGGTGCTTAGCCAGGATTTGGACCCTTAATGATTGATGGGGAAGTGTTCCTTAGCCCATAATTGATAGGAAGGCATGCATAGGAAGCATGTCTGTGCTAACTGCTATCCTAAGATCTTTTCTTTTGTTTTATCTTTTTAATTTTCTGTGCTGGAAATGGAGCCCAGGGCTTTGCACATGTTAAGCAAATATTCTATCACTGACCCAATGTTAACCATGTGCAAGTTACTGAGGATAAAAAACAAGAATTTACTTTCTGTTCTTGCATAGTTAGAGAATTGAACATTTACTCAAGTTTTGTATGCTTACTATGGGGAAACCTAACCTAAATGGGTACTTTAGGAAGTACTCTTCACAGAACGTTACTACCAGAATTAACACTCAACAGAGAAGTTAGCCAAATGAAAAAAGGAACAAGAGGCAATTAATGCTTAGCTTAGCTTAGTACATGCTTAGCTTCCTGAAGTGTTTTAATTACAATTAAAAGCGGCATAAGTGCCTGCCTTTTAAGCAGGTAGTCATGAGTTTGATCCCCGGTACCAATAAAAAGGAAAAAGACAAAAAAAAAAAAAAAAAAAGCAAATATTTTGCTGCTCTTTCCTCTGGAAAGCTTTACTGAAATTGATCGAAGGCAACCAAGTGATTGTTGAAAATAAGGACATGTCAACAATGCCTGTCAGTTTTGAGAAAATCATGTCAATAATAATTGAAACTAAGGTTGATGTTTCAAATTAGTGAAATATTTTTGTATAAGGACTAATTCATTAAAAATAGTAAAATTTTTAAAAGGAAAAAATGAAATAGTGAAAAAGTTCACTCTCCCCAAGTTATATTAGGCAAAATAATCTTTAACTTAAAATAAAAGAAGAATTTTGCAAAACTATATGTACAGCATACTATTTGTGTGAAAAGTTCACTACTTAGGTGGTTTTATGAATATGACATTTCAAAAGACACACAGTAAAGTCATGGCCTTGTGACACTGGATTCTCTCAAGAAAGGAGCCTTCAGTAGATAGGATACAAGCATAAACAAGAGACTTGATTACATACTTTTAATTTTGAACTTTGTGAATGTATTGCTTTTCAAAAGAGGTGTGAATTATTTTATATATTCACATTTTTATATGTTTATGTAAGTACATACATTAAACATGCATTTTTGTAATATTTTAAATATTTATCATTGTAGTTCTTTTGAAAAGGTTTTATACCTTAGAATGAGGAGATAGGAAGAATGTGTGGGGTAGACATTTACTTTTTACTTTTTATTACTTGAATTATAAAGAAACTTCATTATTTAAAAAATCAAACATACATAAAAGATCTAGTACTATGGATCTAGGAGCACTGACTAAATAGAGGAAAGTGTTTGTTTTTTTTTTTGTTATAATTCAGCCATATGTGTAGCAGACTCAACCCTGTTAACTTGATCTTCATTCAGATTATTTCCTTAAGTCTTGCTGATACATTAAAGTAATAAGACCACACCTCTAAGAGACTCACAATGAAACAATAATCTGACCTTCACTTTTATAGCCACTTCTATGGAGAATAACAAAATTTCATATATCAAAGAGCCAATTAAAAGGTAAAGAGTATGAAAAGAAAGGTAGTCAATGATTATTTATACAATTGTTAATGAAGGTACACCTTCTTCAAAAGTATGTAGTCATTGGTACTTTTGAGAAGATCATTGAATTTAAAGTCAGAAGATCATAAAGTCACTACATTATGGATTAGCTGTATTACTTTGGTTAATCATCTACCCCAAAAGTTAATCAACCATCCTATAATATTACATATCTCATGAAGTTATTAAAAATAAAATACAGTATAAGAAAGCATGTTTTAAACTCTAAAATGTTTTGTAAATTATATAGCTATCACGTTTCAGTACACAAAGTGGCAGTGATAATGACATTTAGACTTTTAGTTATGTGACATACTTTCACTGAAGATATTTTTCCATGTATTCACAAAATAACAGGGCAATGTGTAAAGCAAACAGATTCTAGAAAGTCCTTGGCTCAAATTTTGACATTTTGATTTATTTCAGTACATGGGAAATTTATGTTAATATATCATAGTACAATACAGAATGTGTGGTAATAGGGAAGCAAGATAGAAATTTGTCACTGAGCTGTGTCTTTTTTGAACTCTTAAGTATGGATAAAAAGTTAATATGAATACTTTTTTTTTTAATTTTAGTTATCTACCTCATACTCTACCATGCCATCTTTGTATTTTTTGCCTGGACCTACTGGAAGTCTATCTTTACACTTCCACAGCAGCCAAACCAGAAGGTAAGAATATTGGTTACTTCATAAAGTATAAGAAAAGAGGAATGTAGAGATGCTAATAAAGAAAATAGACAAACATAGAAACAAATAAACTTACCGAACAAAAGAAAATGAAGATCAGGGTATTCTTTCTTTCTTTCTTTCTTTCTTTTTTCTTTCTTTAAGGTGTTCTGCAAGCTAGCTTTTCCTAGGCCAAAATGATCTTCCTCCCTTATGCCAGAGAAGGTAGGAATACAGGTGCATGCCACCCTGTTTAATTCAGGGCAATTTTAAAGTAGGACTATTAATAGTAAAGGTGACCTTAAACATTTAATAAGACTTTAAAGGGGTTTATAAAAGCACATTATGTCTTTATGACAAGGACTTGGTTGTAGCAGCACATGCCTGTAATCCCAGCCCTTGGGAGGCTGAGGCAAGAAAATTACCATGAGTTTGAGGCCAGCCTGAGAAACTCGGTGAGTTTAAAGCCAGGCAGGACTACATAGTGAGATGCTAGCCCAAAAAACCAAACGAACAAAAAAGACAAGGAAACTATTGCTTGCATTGGTGATTTAGTCAGGAAAAACTCTATTAGATTCTGAGATTCTATGTAGTTTAATATTATGAAATCATGTTTAGTGGCCAGCAAGTCTCTGGTAGGCAGTTCTGAGGGGGAAAAAGTACAACAGTTAAATAATTTCCAAGCTACATTCTCTTGAATCATGAGTTTCTTCTAACATTGGGAAGACTAATGATGGAATTTGTCATCACGTGAAGAATTTATCATGTGTGACTAGTTTAAACCAAGTTGGGTTCCAAAGAATGTAAAACAATGGATTGAGACCTTAACATCTGCCAAATACTAAGTAAAATATTGTCATTAATTGTCTCATTCACAGAACCAAAATAATTAAGAAAAAAGAAAAAATGTAATTAAACATAGCTTCTCCCAAGATGACCAAGCAGGCCCAAACCAGACTGCATAGCACACCCACACACAATTCATGCATGGGAGCAACCATCCAACTAATTACAACCTGGCTCTACATTTGCATTCCCCTTGGTGCAGGGAGTCAGAGTTGAGGACTAAACAACTGACCTGATCATTATGAGGACAATGCCCAGATACAGAAAAGAGCAACAACAACCTGAGACTTTTGATATTATATCCATCAGTCCACTTAAAACCCACTCATATGTGGTCTATATCCAGCAAAGACTAGAGGACTGCATGTACTTCCCATCTACCAATGAAAGCAAGGATACACTTTGGCTTGAACAATTACCACAGTATGGAGAGAACAGACAGAGAGAGGAATCTATGGTGCAAGAAGGATTGCTCATGCTAGGTGAAGAAAACCATAACTGTATGAATCCCAAGATTGCAGATCTTAGAAAAAAAGACATTTAAAGACACAAAAATTGTTTATTTTTTACTGTTTTTTATCTGTCTCTTTTTTATTATATTTATCTTCCATTTTGGGGGGTTGGTGATTTTGTTATTGTTTTTTAATTTTTCTCTTCTTGTTTCTTTATCTCCTTTTCTATTCTCCTCTTTCAAATTTGTTCTTTTCCTTATCTTTTTTATTTCATCTATCTTGCTGTTTTCTTGTTCAATCTTTCCTTTAACTATTCTCTAACACTACTAATTTCCTTTTCCTCATCAATAGGACCCCATCTCCTTTTTCTCTCCTCATATCCCACTGATTAATTTTTAATTTTTTTCATTGTTTGCTTTCTCTCCTCCTCTATGTTTACTAGTATAACTACTGAGATTTATGAATGTCTAAATAGCTAGTTAAGTTTGTGTCATGGCTATTGAATACTATTTTATTGTTAGGGGAGTTAAAGTTATGTATCTATAGCAGAGATTCACTATATGTCTGTAACAGATCAATATTTGGTTTATCTTAGTGTTCATGTTACAATTATAAATCTATTTTCTATGGGTAAGGATGGTATATTATTGGTCTTTATGACTTTTCTATATTCAGCTTTTATTTAATGCTGTATTTTTTGCTGATTTTTTTAATATATGCAAAACGATCCATTGTATTAATTGGTTCTCTAGGGATACCATATCTGTATTGCTTGAGGGTCATTAACAATACTGTATTCCATTCCTGAGAAACTGGATAGCTGCAACCTCCAGTCAAAAATAAACAAAAGTGAAAGAGTCCTGATTCAGACATAAAAGCTGCAAGTTAGCAGACAAGAAGACATCACTGAAAATTAGATATTAACTAAAGCAGTTTCCATACTAAAACAAAGCTTTTAACTAGAATAAATTGGAAATCCTCAACACAAACAAACAAACTAAAAACTAGAAACATGAGAAGATAAGCCAACAAATTGCTTCTGAATACTCCACCTCCCCCAAAGAATATGAGGCACTGAAGGGGATAAAACCAAATGCTACCCACAGATTACTTTAAATTATACCAGTTAGATAGCAAAACAGATCAATAAGGCATTAGGCAAGCTCAAAAATGATATATATGAGCTAATATTGGGCCAAATAAACACAAAAATTATTGAGCTCATAGAAGACATTCATGGAGAGCTAACATTGCTAAACAAAATGATGCAAAATATGAATGATCACCAAAGGAAAATTAAACTCCAAATAGAAATTCAAGAGACTAAAAATTCTAGCAAATGAATGGGCAGCAGATGTAAGCAAGGTGAGAACAGAATGTCAGAGCAACAAAACAAGGCTGCTGTCATGGAAAAATTAATGAAAGATACTTTGAAAATAACAAAAGAACATAAAAAATTGAGCCAATAACTCCTACATGTTGTATGGAATAATCTAAGATTAAGTGGAATTGGTGAAAAATGGGAAGACAGCACAAATGACATTAAAAATCGTATTTATTAAAATAATAGTAAAAAACTTGCAAATAAGGAGAAAAACTGTAACATGCACATAAGTGAAGCACATAGAACCCCAAATAACTAAATTAAGAAAATAAGATCTCCATAACAGGTCACCTTCAAAATTGCAGAAGTTGAACACAAGAACATGAATTTAAAAGAGGTTGGAAGTAAACAATGAATCACTTATAATGGTAAACTCATTAGAATTACTATAGTAGATTTCTCAACACAAACTTTAAAGGCCAGGATAGCTTACAGTGAAGTGTTTCAAGCCCTAAAAGAAAACAGTTTCCAACCCAGTGTGATATATTCTGCAAAACTATCTTTCAGAATTAATTGAGAAATAAGAAATATCCATGATAAAGAATGACTAAAGATAGTAATTACCACCAAACCAGCATTCCAAAAAATTCTCGAAGATATCCTAGGATACACTAAAGCTAACAGTGATAAAAAGTCTAATAGAATGAATGCACCAGGTAAATTGAGCAATTAGTAAAAGGAAAAGAGAGAATCAACAGCAGGAAAACAAAGCAATGCTATGAACAAGTAAATACTCATCAGTAATAATTCACAATATGAATGATCTCAATACCTTAATAAAGGACACATACTGCCAGAATTGAAAAGAAACATAACTCAACTATATGCTGTATATAAGAAATATACTTAACTCAAAAAAAAAAGCCTCAGATTAAAATTCAGGGAGCAAAAGCAATATTCTATGTAATAGTAACCCCCAGAAAAGCAGATGTAACAATCCCATATTCGGACAAAGTGGAATTCAGGACAAAAAGAGGCAAAGATGTTCACTACATTTAAGTTAAGGAACAATCCAACAGGAAGAAAGAGCTATAATTAACATACGCACTGAAAAATGGTACTCAGCTTCATAAAACAAGTGGTACTGGACATAAAAATAGATTATACATAAACATAATTACAGTGGGAGAACCTCAATACCTCACTATTATAACAAATAACTAGACAGCAAATCAAGAAATTTTAGAGTTGAACTAAATCTTTGAACAAATGACTTAATGTAGTGAATGAACAGTGAATTCTCTTGAAAAACAGAAAAATACATATTCTCACCAGCACATGAAATTTTCTCCAAAATAGACCATATGCTAGCCAATAAAACTGAAATAAATACAAAGCAATTGAAATTATGCCATGCATATTATCAAATTATATAACAGTAAAACCATAAATCCATGGGAAAACACAGAAATTATGGAAATACATGAAAGCTGAACAATATACTCTTAAATAAACAATATGTAATAGACAAAATCAAAGAAGGAATAAAACAATTTCTAAAATTGAATAATGTCAGGACAATGCACTAGAACTTATTAGACAAAGTGAAACCAGTCCTAAGATATACGTTTATAGGTATGAATGACCACATCACAAAAATATAGGCAACCCAAATCAGTAACCAATTAATGCATTTCAAAAATCCTAGAAAAGAAAAACAATACAAATCCAAAATATGAAAAAGAAATAAAAGGAGTATGTATAGGAAAGCAAATAGTCAAATATTATTTAGAGATGGCATGATTTTTACATAGAAGACATTTAAAAATGTACCAAATCATGCTGAGAATTAAAAACTAAATTCAATAATGTAACAGGATATAAATTAACACACAAAATATGTACCATTGTGGTATACTAATAATAAACCAACTGAAAATGAAATTATGAAAAAATACCATTTACAGTAGCACCAACAAAACCTAACTAAGGAAGTGAAAAACCTCTACAACAAAAACTACAGTACTCTAAAAAAGGAAATTAAGAGGATATTAGAAAATGCAAAGATAAATCCTATTCATTGTTAGTCAGAACTGATATAGTGAAAATGGCAATAAATACAAAACTGATATGTAGATTTATGCATCCTAATAAAAATAGCAACCGCGTTCTTTACAGAATTGGGGGAAAAATCCTAAAAGTTATATGGAACAATAAAAGACACAGAATAGCAAAAAGAATCCTGAGTAACAAGAGAAATGCGATAGGCAACATAATGCCAAATACATTTTTTTTGTACAAGGAATCGAACTCAGGGTCTTGCACTTCCAGTCTGTCAATTTTAACTTATCTTACAAAACTACAGTAATAGGACTTCAGAG